GTAAACAGGTGGTTATGTTGCGCTGCTCTTAATTTAATTACGAAGTTAATTTACATAGAAGTTAGATAAGTTAGAAAAGTCACTAAACTGGCCACAAACACCAGCACAAAGTGTCTCTAGACTGTCAGCAATTAGTGCCCTGTTTAGTAAATCTGTATCTAGATGTTTATTTTTTTATTGTTATTTATTGTTTATTTATTGCTAGTGTATTTCTCTGCTGGACTTGACTTGCAGTAACAGATTCCAAGCCCTCAGCTCTCCGCCTGCCTCAGCTCCTTGGACAGACAGTGTTTTAATAATTGGAGACTCTATCATCATACATACCCTTGTAACAGAGAAAGAAAACAGACACTTGTTTTAGGTGAATTTCATGGAAGTAAGCATTTTTATATTGTGTCATGCTGTTTGGGACACCCTGTTGCGTGTGGCAGACTGCAGATTGCAGGGTTTGAACCTCTTGAGCTGCCATACCTCTGCAGCAGACTGAGTTTTCTATGCTACAGGTAGGCGCTGCTAATTTCTCATGTGTATTTCATCAGTAATTTAACTATTAAAATACGTTTAAGCTAACATAACATACATATTATGACTGTTATACAACTTTGCTATACAAACTTGTTATACAAGTTTGCAAGAAATGTATTGTTATGGTTAGTAGCTGAGACTCCATTGGCTACTTATTTTCTCCATGCTGAGTTAAACGAGTCGGACTCATGGTTCTTTTTTCTTCCTCTCCCCTGCCATTTTCTTGCAACTGACTGAGTTTTCTATGCTGCAGGCTTTTTGTGTCCAGTCTGGTAACGATGTTAAACAATAGACGGGTAAGCAGTGTTGACAGTAGACAGGTAAGTGTTTTGATGATAAAGACAATGCCTTCTCAATTTCTACTATTCTCTGCTATCATACTAAAGCTTCTACTAGCTACAAAGAGGGAAAGATGCCTAAACTGGTCATTAAGGACAGTATAAACAACTCCTACAATACTAAGACAGTCAAAACGCAAAAAAAATTCAAAAAAAGATTTCAGAAAATTTGTTTCAGTAACGGCATTAGAGTCATCAAAACCTGTGCAATCAGAAAATAAACACATGGTCTATAGTGAAAGGTAAACTAAATCTTGCTTAATTCAATATAAGGTGACTTAATAACAAAACATCGGACTCAAGATCTTATTAAAGAGCATAAGCTTGATTTCATGTTTCCAACAGAAACATCGCTAACTGGACAAGGCATAGCAACTGTACTTGAAGCTGATCCTGAAAACTAGTGATTTATGCATACAGTAAAACAGGCCAGGCGAGGGGGAGAAGTGGCATGCATTTATTATGATGACTTTAACTGCAAAAACTCTATAGCTGAATTTATGTCTTTTTGAGTGTATTGCAATCAACATTTTTAACAATACTTCTGTGATATTAATTGTAAAGTTTTGGCAGAAATTGCGGAATTAATATCAATTGTATTCACACACTATGATAAAATTCTTCTCTGTGGAGACTTTAACTTACATATTGATATTCCATCAGACAGTAATGTAGTTGAACTCTTTAATTTGAGACTTTTGATTTGAAGCAGCATGTGAGCAGGCCTACCCACAAGCAAGGCCACATCCTGGATCTGGTGACCACTAAAAGTTTAAACACAAACATGTCCCTCATCTTTGTTTTCATATCAGATCATTTCTATATTTTCTTCCAAATCAATTTAGAGGTAAGGAAGAAAGTACCTGAAAGTTACTTTAAAAACATTACATTGACTGAGAAAAGGGTTGAGAAGTTTAAAAACATGTATAATCTACATCAAATACAGACTCCCTCATGTAGTGATCTGGTCTCTGATCTAAATGCTAGATTACAGGAAACTCTTGACACTCCCGCACCTGTTAAAGGAAAGAACAAAATCGCATACTCATAAAAATCCATGGATGATTGTGGAAATACACCAGCTCAAGAGAAATTATAAATCATAAATCAGAGCGCTTATGGAGGAAAACTAAGCCGCAGGTACCTTATGATATTCTCAAAGAGCAGATCTCCACTTACAATTAAGCTATGAAAATATCCAGAGTCATACCTCTCTAGTGTAATTAATAAACACAGACAATACAAAAAATTCTTTTTGCACCATAGACTGACTAATTAACCCTAGCTTTTCTGTTAATGTGTCTCATAGTGCTTTACCTTCTAAAATGTGTGATCATTTTCAAAATAAAATAGCCTTGATAAGAAAGAGCGTAGCTCAGACAGCTGAAAGAAGCTTGTGTAACCTTCCTGATAAGCCACCTACATCAATGCTGACATCTTTCTCTGTTATCAATTATCAGAAGTTTACAACTGCTGTAAACAAAATATGTTTGTCCACATGTGATCTTGACCCTGTTCCTTCTTCACTCCTAAGTTTTTATGTTTAAAATGATGTCTTAAATATTGTAAACTCTGTCAACAGGTGCTTTTCCAGACACTTTTAAAATCTGCCCTGGTGAAGCTCCTACTGAAAAAGAGTGACTTGGATCCTTCCGTACTAAATAACTGTAGACTAATTGCAAACTATCCTTTTTTAAGTGTTAGAAAAAGTTGTTTTCAAAGAATTAAATGCATATCTAATATCAAACAAGTTATTTGAGAAGTTTCAATCAGGTTTATGTTCTAGCCACATTACTGAGACAACATTGGTTTGCATTGTGAATGACATCAGGCTCGGCGCTGACACACAAAATCCTTCCATTCAGGTCTTATTGGATCTTAGTGCAGCTTTTGATACCGTTGACGACAAGATTCTAATCCACCATCTTCAACTCTGGGTAGACCTCTTCCTTGGTTTCACTGGATGACTTCATTCATCAAAAATTGTTTTTTTGTGGAGTTTTTGTGGAGTTTTAGGGCCTTTGTTTTTCTCTTTGTGCATGTTACCTTCAGGTGAGGTCACTAGGAAACATAATATAAATTTTCATAGCTACGCTGACGACACACAATTATACATTTCCATTCCTTCTGATGATCAAGACTCTGTAGACAGGCTGACCAGCTGTATAAATATATTTCACAAAATTTCTACAACTAAATCAAGAACAAACTAAAATACTGATTGTTGGTACTAAAACTTAAAGAAAGCTGCTGATCATGTGAGAAATGTTGCTAATGTTCAGCCTTTTCTCTCTCAGATCAATGCAGAGAAACTCGTTGCTGCGTTTGTTCAGCAGAGTTGATCACTGTAATGATCTTCTTACTGGAGAAAACAATACATTCTCTACAACTCGTACAGAACGCAGCAGCACGGATCCTTACAACACCAACACAGGGAGCTCATATCACCCCCGTTTACACACTGCAGTGGCTGCCTGGATTTTTGTTCAGATAGCAACCATGCTAGCTAATGCTCTAGCTATTACAGCTAAAGACATCATCTAACCTAAAAGAGTTTTAATAAGTTACCAGTCACATTTCAGCTGTATAGGTTATTGCGTTGGCTTAGTAGTTTACATGCTATATAAACTATTGACAATCTACCTGTTTCAAACGAAGCTGAAGTTGGCTTGTTATTCACAAAATATTTTCCATTCCACCTCAAATAGTGCAACAGTTACATTCTACCACCTGTACACCCACCAGAATGCAACATTTTCATGACTTAAAGTGGAACAGAAAGACTCGACTGAAGGACTTGCAAGCCAGACCCTCGAGACTCGCATGAATTGATTTGCTCTTTACCCACCACCACCACCACCAACCTCCACCACACGCTAATTCACAACCTCTATGTTTATAAGATCTACACTACACTCTTTTACTGACCGTAACATGCTGCTGAATCTTCATGTGTGCATATGTGATGGCATGAGATGTTGGAATGAATCACAGTCATTAGATATTTTGTGAATACTGAGAGTTTATTATATTTTTGAGCAGTCTGAAATAATATAATATAGCAATATAGTAATATTTCACATTAATTTGTGAATTTAAGAAAGGATAGTGGTTTAGCTAATGCTAAATCTACTTTAAATGAATGGAAAAAGGAAAGATTATACAGAGATGTCTGAATTGATTAATAAATTCTGATCAGACTGGAACCTGCTTTGTGGGGTTTTCACGTTCTTGAGCTCTCCAGTCCCTACAAAAAAAAACAACAAAAAAAAACAATACAATAGCAACTAATACAACTAATAAACTAATACAATAGAATTGATGCACATGAACTACTGCATCTTGTATTACAGTTACAGGTACAACACATTCATTTATGTAGTTTGATAATAATTCTGGAGATCCCATCTCATCTCAACTGAGATCAACTGACCTGCAGAGTTCAGATTCAACTGGAATCACTAAAACCTGCTCTCACTTTACAAAGAAAGTTTATTTATTTATTTATTTTTTATTTATTTATTTCAAGTGTTACTAGACAGAATCTTTTAACTTTGTATCTGTAGCACTATAAATTATTTTTACACTTAGAAGCTGACAAGAAGGCAAGTAGGTCTAATAAGTCAAATCAATTCATATGTTGATTGTTATCATATGATAATAAAGGCTAAGGTGAACATTACTGACTGCATGAAAACTCTTGGCTAACTAAAGCTTATTGCATATTTGTGGACATTTATCTGATTACAGCCTATTTTTTTCAGTGTGTTAATGGCTGCTTCTTAAGTATCTAAAGCTTCTCAGCAGCTGACACAACAGGCTTTAATGTTCTCCAGTTTTAAACTCAGCTCTGTCATACAGTTATTAATTTGGGCTGGGTGCGAGAGTGAGGCCAGTTGTGCTCCCTTGGACTCCCAGCCATGGATGAATGCAATTTAGCATGTTTGGGTCACCAGAGCAATACTGACAGGTCCAGTGACCTGAAAAAAGCATTTGACTAGAAGGGTTTTCAATGGTCATTCAAACTTATAATTATTTGCACCCCACATCTGGTTTCTAAAAGTCTGCATGAGCGTCTGAAAGAGGCAGCTGGAACTGAACTCAACAGTGTAGATCCCTGTGGATGAGGACTGAAACCCCTGTAATGAAGTTATACCTTTAAACCACAGGGTAGGAGCCTCTTGTGGCAATACCACACTGGTTATTCTTGTTCCTGGACATCTTGATGTAGCCCTTTTCACCCCAGTTTACACCCCAGCTGCAAAACAAATGTTGGATATTCATTTTTTGTCTTCTGAGTAAAGCACATTTCCCTACATCCCTGACTGTGATGTGATCAGGAATTGTCTTCTTTATTGTTTGGCTAACTTGTTTACCTGTTCTTGACCAGCCAGTAGTCCTTTTTGAGTGCGTCAGTGCCGTAACCAACAACTAGGACGGCATGAGTCACTTTAGTGTTGCTGCAGTCTGGCTCATCATACACACCTGCAATCATTTATACAGTAGCATCTATAACATTTTTGCTAACTGTGACTAATAGCACAAAGGAACATTAAGGAGCACATAGAGGAGAACATCTAGAACATTATTATAATTCAAAAATGAACTGACTTGATGTTCAGAACTGATTTACGTCAAAATTAATTCTGGAATCCATGTTTACATTAATTCAGGGAAATCATTTAGGCATCTCAATGTTAAAGCCGCAGAATTTCATGTCTGATAGGACAGAGATCTTAGTGAAAGAAGCTGCCCCTTCAGATGAGGTAATGCTAAATAGTCATAACAGTGTTACATTAGATGCTGAGGAGGACTCATTGTCTTTTATGTGAGGTCTGTCAGCAAGTTTTAATGAAATAATACACAGAATTGCATGTGTATGAGTGCATTAATATTTATCTTTACAGTGTTTATAATCCCAAATGTGAGTGTGCTACAGTCCTGTTTAATCCATTAACTGTCAGCAGCTAAGCTAAGAAGCACCAACTTGTTCAATTATCTATAGATAACAATCCTAAAATTGTTCTGTAGCCACTAAGCAAGTATAAGTCTACCTATGAATAGTTTTGACACTGAGCTGTGAGTTTGGTTTTCCAAAGCTTTTTCCATTTCAGGAGTGAAAAGAAAAGAAACCACAATATACGTAAAAGTCTCTCAAAGACAGCATATCGTAATGAGTACAGCAGGACTTGTTTCTGAGGGTTACCTGACTCATAGAGCTGGAAGCTGTGTGGGACGGCATTTATAGATACAGAAATAGGTCCAATTGTGGCCACGGCGAGCTGCAGAGCATCTTCTGTGGGCTTCACCTTTTCATAGCCAGAGCACTTAGCCCAAGCTTTCTGTTTTTTAAACCTGCACAGCCCTGCCTGAGGAGAGATGGAAACAATCAGGATGGGTTGCCACTGTAACGTCCAGGTGGCCTGCTAGGATGGAGTAATTAGAGCTGAGCGGTGAGAGCTGTGGACGCCTTACTTAAGGGGTACCCACACACTCAGTCTTGAGTTCACCTTGCCAGAAGCACCTCACTCTGACTCATATCTGGTAACCTTGGTAAAACAATCTCTGACATTGAGTCTTGAGTATTGCCTCTTTTGAGGTACTCCCCAGCATAAGTATAAAGAGGAAAAGAAAGAGGAAAAGAGTATCTTTTATTTGTTCAAGAATCTCTTAGTGAAAGAGTAAAGAGGTTTTTTTTTGTAGATGCTCTTAGTGATTTGAGAATGTTCTTTGTAAACCCTTTAGTTGGCAGAAGTCATGTGTGGTACAGAACATTGGTTCCACAATGTAAAGGTCAAGTTTTGATCCTCCCTGGTGACCGGTCTCATTTTTTTGTTTATTACACTTATGTTCAAGTTCTTAGTTGAGTTATAATTTCTTCTCAAGCCTTTACTGCTCTGCACTTGAGGCCATCCTCTAGTGCCCGCCATGTGGTTTGTCCCTTAGTGCTCAGGTTTACCATTACAAAGGTTGTGCCTCACACAGCGTGAACCAACTGATGTGTTTCAGCTACTCTTCTGGTTAAAAGGTCAAAAGGATAGTTTCAAAAATCAAATTTCCAAAAATTTCCTGTCACTTCCAATATATATGAACAGACAAACAAACATGACCAAAACAAAAAAGTTTTTCACTGGAGCTGCATGCCCAAATCATCACATGCTTCTTTGCAACACTGGTGTAAAAATGGATGAAATGTTTAGACAATATACATGCAGTTAGCACCATGCTAAAGGGTACAGTTGGCTTTCATTACTTGTTAGTTCCATTAGCATTGTAGCTCCACTGTAAAGTATATAAAACAAATTTCATTAACTACTGGCATCATTAACTACAGTAGCCTCACCTTGGCTTGATATGGATAGGTGCTTGCTTTCTCCAGGCCTCCACTGGACTTGATGTACTCAAAGGCCTTGTATGCCAAACCACTGGTACAGCCATGGTTTCCAGAACTCCAGGAGCAGTCCACCAGCTGTTGCTCACTCAAACTTACCAGCTTCTTTTTCTTCTTGAACATCTGACCCTCGAGCGCACCCGTCTGAGAGAGAGAGAGATAATAGAAAACAAAGGGAGGTGAAACAATGGAAATGCTAATAGTGTGTTTTCCTAATAAAATAATGCTCTATTTAAAGTTCCCCTCTTCCACAGCAACCCTACTCTTACTTTTACTTTTACCTGTGTTCTTCCACAAGCTGATAAGATGAATATTATTGATATCTTTACCTTATTTGTTTCCATAAGCAATATTTATGTGATTTCCTTCATTGCACTGGTAACTTGGTCAGCTACCTCAGATTTCAGGATTGTATTTGTTAAAAATAATTATTACAATAAAACGTTCTGAACTTTATCGCAATTTGCATGCAGTAAAGGCCCATGTGTGCTTGGTTCAGAGCGTAATTTGTATTTTTTATTTTAAAAATCTGCAGTAGCTCTGCTTTGTTTAAGTGAATGCTATATTTTCATTTCACTTTAGGAATGCTTCGCTCAAACACATGCAGGTTGAGGTGCAAAGAGGAAAAGTGTGTGAGAGTTTTAGGCCAGTTCTGAACCCCAAAGCAAACTAATACTTTTGTGTGTGTCTTTTAAACTTAAAAAGATTACTCTAATGTAATGATGAAGTTTATCAACCATTATATTTCCTCCTCAGTGGGCCTTCCGGTGTTAAATCTCACTGTGTGACTCTGGGCATGGCATAGTTGGTTACCATGCCACTTATGAACAATCTGATTGTTCGCTGCTCAGTACATCGTAATAAAGTTCATCCAGAACGAGTGAGGATTCAACGAATTCAGCCAGAGCTAAAAAATATTTCTGATTTGCTTTAGTCGTTAAAAATGGTTCTAAAAAGTGAAGGGACATCCCAGAATAATAAGCCACTTCAAAAGTAGGTTTACATACATACATACATCATCTAAACCGCTTATCCTACTGGGTCGCGGTGGGGTGCTGGAGCCTATCCCAGCTGTCATTGGGCGGAAGGCAGGATACACCCTGGACAGGTAAAAGTAGGTTTAGAGCATCTAAATTTAAAGCAAAGTTAGAGCAGTTTTGAGCATCTAAATTTCTTTTGAAAAAATGTGTGTATATTTATATGTGTGTCAGTGGTATTATAACAAAGTGGAAGCGATTGGGGATGACAGCAACTCAGCCACGAAGTGGTAGGCCACGTAAAAGGACAGAGCAGGGTCAGCGGATGCTAAGGCGCATAGTGTGCAGAGGTGGCCAACTTTCTGCAGAGTCGATCGCTACAGACCTCCAAACTTCATGTGGCCTTCAGATTAGAACAGTGCATAGAGAGCTTCATTGAATGGGTTTCCATGGCAGAGCAGCTGCATCCAAGCCTTACATCACTAAGCACAATGCAAAACGTTGAATGCAGTGGTGTAAAGTGCCACCACTGGACTTTAGAGCAGTGGAGACGTGTTCTCTGGAGTGACGAATCACGCTTCTCCGTCTGGCAATCCGATGGACGAGTCTGGGTTTGGCGGTTGCCAGGAGAACGGTACTTGGCCCATAAAGACATGGATGAGCAAGTTTGGCATGGAAGAACTTGACTGGCCTGCACAGTCCTGATCTCAACCCGATAGAGCACCTTTGCAATTAATTAGAGTGGAGACTGCAAGCCAGATCTTCTCATCCAACATCAGTGTCTGACCTCAATTTTAATGATACATTTTTATCGTTACCACCCACTGCTACTTCAAATTACCCCTCCATTCCGTTCTCCCTCTCTGTCTGTCCTGCTGTAACTCACCGCACTGAAGGCCCAGCAGGAACCACAATGACATTGGTCCTTAACCTCAGTCACATAGCCTGCAGCCCTCCAGTCTACAGTTTTTGGAAGAGCAGTGCCCTCTACTGGTTGGAGGAATGTAGTTGCATTATCGATCTCTGTCTCATTGAAGGATCCCAGGCAGCCCTTCAACATCTGCTGGTACTCCTGGTTGTCCTGTTGGAGAAGAAGATGGTGAGAGGATTGTGACAACCTAGAAGTCAAATACTGAACAGCACATAATAAGCAGAGTTTCAGTGAGCTATGTGAGATCTCACCATGTCTGCAAAGCGGTTGATGCCAAGTCTGTAGCTTTTGATGCCCTGGTCAGCCAGTATGTTGTGCTTCAAGACCAGCTTATGATTGTCCAGCCAGATCATCTTACGCTGAGACTCTTTTTCCACTGAACCATAACTCTTACCTAAGAGGAAACTTTTTTTTAAGCAGGGGTGCAAATGGTCCAGGAAAAAAGTAAAAGTTTGGAGGGAACAATATAAACATATATATATATATATATATATATATATATATATATATATATATATGTATATAGTGGATTTTAAAAGTGTTCAGACACCCTTGACTTTGTGTACACATTATTATGTTGTGGATTTGATGATTTTGAGTGTTGCTATTTTTACCCATGAATGATCAAGTGAAAAAATGTAAGTGGAAAATGGATTAAATGGATTAAAAATCAAAACCTGCAATCTCTTACTTTCAGAAGTATTCAAACCTTTTGCTTTGGCACTCCACATTGTGTTTGCATGCATCTTATAAGCTTTAATCATCCCAGACATGTGCTTAGAACTCAACTGGAGTCCACTTATTGCATTTTGAACTGAATGGACATAGTTTGAAAGGCACAGACCTGGGTCAAAGGAACTGTCTTTGAGTCTCCCAAATTAAACCATGGCACGACTTAGATCAGGGCAAGGATAAAAACACTATCTAAATCTTTGTTTGTTCCAAAAACCACAATGTCCCCAACAATTTTTAAACGGAAGAAGCTTGGCACAACCTTGAACCTTTCTAGAGTTCGCCTTCCAGCCAAATTGAGCATCCAGTCAAAATAGGCCTTGGTCAGAAAGCAAGAAGTAAGAAATAACCCAATGGTCCCTCTAAAACAGCTCCAGAAATCCTCTGCAGAGACAGAAGGAGCTGTTGGACAGATAACCATCTCTGCAGCACTCCATAAATCAGGCCTTATGGCAGGCTGGCAAGATGATTGTCTGTTGGACAATCAAAGGGATGTGACAGTGCTCTTGGAGTTGGAGCAACAAGAGGAATAAGATTCTCTGGTCTGATGAGACAAAAACTGATCTCTGGGCAGAACAGTGTCTGGCGAAAAACAGGCACCGCACATTACCTGACTAATACCCCTGCAGTGAAACATGGTGGTGGCAGCATCAAGTTAGGGGGGTGATTCTCAGCAACAAGTACAGAGAGGCTAGTAAAAACTGAGGGACAAGTGAAAGAAGCCAAATATGTCCTTGAAGAAAACTTCCTCCAGTTCACCTTTCAACAAGGCAATGACCCGAAACACAACCAAAAGAACACCCCAGTGGCATCAGGGTAGGTCTCTGTTTGACCTTGAGTAGCCCAGCCAAAGCCTAGACTAAATACATATAGCTTGGAACACTGTCAATAACTGTACCATTAAAAGTGTTTACTTTTACATTATTAACCCTATCACTTCTATGAGACCTGAAAACAACATATATTTTGTTCTTCATTCGGCACTTTCAAACTATGCAAAGATTTCTGCATCAAATTCATTTTTTTCTCTATATATACCATGACTAGTGTTACAGAGGAGGCACTAGAATACATGACATGACATGATACATAATGTAAAAAACACTGGCCCAAGCATAGAGCCCTGCGGAACCACATTAGCAATTTCCAAAAAAAAAATACAAATGAGCACGATAATTGTGAAACCAACCAAGTGCCTGTTGATTAAAACCAATGGAAAGCAGTCTTAAGCAGATCATGATCAAGCTTATCAAAATCCTTTGAAAGGTCTATAAAAAGAATAACACAACGCAGCTTTTTGTCAGTAGCACAAACAATATCATTAACAAAAATATTTACTGCAGAAATAGCACTATGGCCTGGATTAAAACATTTTCTCTTAATAAAAAATGTGCAACTGAGTATTTATAAGTGACTCTAAAATTTGTCCTAGAGAAGAAAGCTTAGAAATTGGTCTTTAATTATTTAAATCATTAATATCTTCCCCTTTATGACAAAGTGTAATATAGGCTGCTTTCCAAGCCCCAGGGATGAAACCAGTAAGATTATACATACAGGTAACAACTCTAGAAATTAAGTGAGCCTAGAGCTATAATAAAAATGGATCTAATTTGTCTGCAGCACAAAATTGTTTTGCATTTGTATTAATCAAAATGTTTAAATAATCTTTATAAAAGATTGTGTCCTAGTTTCTCCTGGATGCCTCCAGCCACTGCACAGATTTATTAAATTCTATCACAGTCACACCTTATTTAACATATGAAATATTAAAAGGGTAGGCCAAGTATAGGATGATAACTACAATTAACACTGGGCTTCCTCGGGGAAACAGTTAAATATAAAACAAATACATTAATGAACTATTATATTAATGTTATTTGTATTTATTCTAATACAAGTTTTTTTTCTTTTTTTTACTACACAAATAAATTGAATATTTTCAACTCCTTGAGACCACTGGTTGTTCCAAAATGCACTTTGTCATATTCTTCATAACTTTCATATTTCATAAGCTACATTCAAATGGTGGGTTTCATATGAGAGCTGTAACTGTCTTCTTTCCAGTCAGGTAGATGGGTAATGTAATCTTAAACCCTTATAATAGAAAAGGCTGAGCTCACAATGTTTTTGTCTACTGAAAGTCGACCCATTTTGCCACAAATCTGGGCTATAAACTATAAACAGATGGCGTCTCTTCAGTGATCTGCTCTGTAAAAATTAATTTTATAAAATAATACAAAAAGCGTCTAAGATTTTCAGATTTTATGGCTTTCAGCAGTAAATTGTAAGCATATAGCAATATATGTATGATCATAAAACACATTTCATTTCATGCAGTTACTGAATAATTTGCCTTACAATTTGGTCCTGTATATTCAGATGGAAAAACCAAAATATACCCTGGTCAATAAGAGGTTAAAATATGATTCTTTCAGATATATACAGCTAAGTATAGTAAATAATATATCAGACTTCAGCCTAATTAAAGATTTCTCACCAAACTTCAGTTTCCAGGCTTGGAACTCCAGATCCTCCAGAGAGATGCTAGTAGCACCGGCCACGACCACCAGAATGGCGACAGTGAGCAAAACCCTCATTTTTCTCTGTGGTGGTTAAACAAAGTGAACAGAATAAATAAAATAACAAAAAAACAAAAAGACACAAACACACACACAAACACAGACACACACACACACACACAAAATACTCAATGAATTCAGTTACATAAGCAGTTCACAGTAAACAGTGGAGGTGCATTAATGCTAAGAGTGAACCAAAGTAACTCAGCAGCATCTTAACCTGCTTCTACCTTCTGCTCCTGCTAACCTAACCTTTGATCTCCTGCAGCCTTGAAGCTCTCCGTAAGTACAGTGAGTTAGCTAGCTATATATGTCCACCTTGATTTCTTGGCTTTATCTGTCACTCTGCTGTGCCTTTAAATGCTGTAGAGACCTGCAGACGCGCTCTGCTCACCACAAACGTCTCACTGCAGAACGTGTGTTCATGAAGGAAACTGTATTCACAGCCTTCAGCAGTTTGTAGACAGAATTGACCAGATTTTCTCTTGGGGGTTTTTGCAGAGATGAAATGAAACAAATGAAGCAGTTGCTGCTGCTAAAGGTGTCACATCCGGTTATTGAGGTGGTAAAGGTGTTGCAAAACATATTTTCCTTCAGTACTGGAAATGATCATTTAAAAACTGTGCTTCCTCATGGTCTCCTTGCCTTATTTTACATTCTGTATGAGAACCTCAAACCATTTAGTCTGACAAAAATGTAACAGTAAGAGAAAATCAGAAGGGGGCATATACTTTTTCATGGAACTGTGTAAGGCAGAAGTGTTGGAATATGTACAACAGCACTGCTGTCAGCATTAGACTGTAGCCTGATGTTGTGACGTAGCAAATACGGAAAATATAAACAACAAACTGCCTAAATTAAGTGGGGTTCCCACTTTTTATAGGCCAACTACAAAGCAACTCCGGTATGCATGACATTTTTGCAGTGAGCCCAAACCTCCCCCACGTCCTGGCTGGCCAGCTGATTTAATCATTATCTAATGCTGCTGTTAATAGGCTATAACTTAACTTATAAGGGTTTTGACTGCAAGTTGAAAGCCGGCAGCTCCCAAAGTTGGCCTGGCTCATGGCTGTTCATATTAGCTGCGCTAACTAGAAAAAGCGCCATGTTCGAATTCTTAATGATCCTTCATTAAGCTGTGAAATGTGCCTGTCTGCTTTTGAAATAATAGAGAAAAGGAGAAACATTCTTGCTGTTAACTGGTTAAATCCACCTTAAATGGTGCAGCAGTTACTGCTGTAATGTTTTCTTATTCGCCAGCTTCTTCTACGATTTCAGTAACTGCTGCACAATTTAAGGTGCAAAGAGAAAATGTGAAGGAAGCTGATAAATAAGAAGCTGAATTCAAATCACATATATATTGTTGCAATGGCCACAAAGTGCACTGCCAACCAGGAGCTGGTGTGCTGGGAAGAGGCTCATCCCTTAGCTGTTGTTAGCCTAGCCTGGTTGGCCTGAGCTTTCGGTTACTTATTTCTTGTTTCTTCTTATGTATGTTTTCTTTGCTTTTAGCTTTTACCTTCATAGAGTTCACTACACCTTTAGCTGGGCCACTAACCTTTAGCTGGGAGACGCACCCCAAATAAAAGAGGTACTGTTTATGTTGTTGTACTGGTAATGTGTTGTAGGTGTTATCATGTCAGGGACTGGGTTTAGTTTGCTTTGTGCGTGAGGGGACGTCACCATCAGGGTGAAGCCTGTGGCTGTGGCCGTGAGTTTGTGTGTTGTATGGCTTTCTGCACGCTAAGTTTAATAAAAAGGCTGTTCTCAGAGCAGAATTCACTCTACTCTTCATTTGACTGCTGTTACAATATTACAATACCGGACCTCCTCTGGTAAAACTAATCCCACTTGAACAAGACTTAATTTTGTACCAGTGAAATTCTTTTTAAAGCATTTTCTTGTTACCTTGTTGTATCACATTCATCATCTCAACCTGGCTCTGATGCCATGATTCCACCCCACACTCAGCAGCGCACTTACAGAGCTCTGCCTCAAAAATGGTAACTTTACAGGAGAAGGAAAAAACATACTTTACCTTTAATGTAAGTCAGTGAAACCAGACTTTTTTCCAAGTAATTTTGGGCCATTTGTTTTGGTCCATTCATCATGAAATTCATTAATTCATGTTCATATCATGATTCAATGTGAAGGCCAACAGGTATTTTAAAATTATGCCAAAAACTGAAAAACAACAAAAACGGAGATACAGAGCTTTTATTCCAACAACAGTGAAATATATATTTATACATCAGTTAGTTCCAGCCACACATGCTGACTGGTTGAGAAGCGTTCTAACCGTGCTGTTATTTCACGAGAACAGCACGTTGTTTTCACTCTTCTGAGAAGTCGTTGCTAAAGCAATGACTTTGACAGCTGTTGTTAGCCTTATTAGCCTAGCTTATTAGCCTGGCTGCTGTGTGCCTTTTTAGCCTAGTTATTGTTAGTTTAGCCTTATTTGCCTAGTTGTTGTTAGCTTAGCCTTATTTGCCTGGCTGTTGTTAGATTAGTTTTGTTAGCCTGACTGGTGTTAGCTTAGCCTTATCAGCGTGGCTGTTGTTAGCTTAGCCTTATTAGCCTAGCTGTTTTCTCCCCTAGCTGTTGTTAGCCTAACCTTATGTATGTTTTCTTTGCCTTTAGCTTCTATTTCCATAGAGTTCACTACAACCACCAACCTACAGGATATTTCTGTGCCTTTTGTTTGTTATAACATTAGCTTTAGTTTACTGATGCAAACAGTCTCTCATATGTTAATCAGTGTAGCAATTTATACCATGCGCATGCAGCACACAATAACAGCACAAGTTTACTTCCATGTTGACATTTTTTTGAAGCATGTCACTATAGAAGATTGTATATAAAGTAGTTGGTTTAGTGAGATATGATGATTAGTTGGTGGAGCATCGCCCCCCGTAAATGACCCCATGATGTCAGGCCTGGTTCAGTTTCTCAAACTTGCAAAAGCAGAGCTCACCAGACTGCACTAAACCCACCCTTTCCTGAATACTGCATCAAACCAGTAGTAGGTCAAATGTATAGACAGTTCAACACAGCGGAACCACAAAACCTCAAAACCACAGCCTGCAAATATATTCAGTTCAAGGCCTTCTCTCTCTCTCTCTCTCTCTCTCTCTCTCTCTCTCTCTCTGTTTCTCTTTTATTAGTTATTGTCATGTGAACAGGTTGGCCTAAGATAAATAGGTGATTTTCTGAAATGTCATCAGATGCTGAGCACAAACTGAGCAAACACAACAACAAACAACACTGACAACATTTTATACAGTCACCACTCATAACGTTTGACGCATTATGAAATGAAAAATATGACAAATCGGCCCCTGAACTGTTGAGTAGCTGAAATCCTGTAAACAGGAATGGGAAGACATGTCACTTTCAAAACTACAGCAATTGGTCTCCTCCATCATTGCATTTTGTTTTTATTTACGTTTTACACAGCGTCCAAGCTTTTTGGGAAATGGGGTTGTACCTTTTCAAGATGTGACCTGACTTTGAAGGAAAACCAGAAACTTGACCAATGAAATGTGATGATTTAGGCATGCTGTTAGCACCATGCTAATTGGTGGAGGATATACTTCTATTACTTGTAAGCTTCATTAGCCTTGTAGCTCCAGTGCTAAAACTAAAGAAGCAAACTTCAGACACCAAACACGACTCTGCAGATCACCTACTTTTGGGGGCAGTGGGGAAAACTGGCGGAATTTGTTTTTCTGTTGAACTATAATATTAAATATGGATTATAACAGTAGGTTTCTGGTGTTTCTGTATAAATCACTGAAATGAATATGATGAAATCAGGTTGTAGAAACAGAGAAAGACAAACAGATAAGCACATTTATTACATGCTTATAGATAATTGAACAGGACAGGGAGCTGAAGAGTTTAGCTCATCTCTACCTTTGTACCCAGAACTACAGAGCTAAACCTGCACACCAGCTTAGATCCTCCAGACTTGACACATCCTTCCTTAAAATCTAAATATGACTGTAAGGTCAGGTCTCATTACTTCAGTGTACTCCAGAGCCCCACAGTGGAGGAACTCTGCACTGCACAGTCACTCAGTTACTTCTGCCACTTCAAGTGAAACCTGTACTGAGACCTCTCTGCACTCATTTACACTTCATTTCTCAATCACTGTGTCATTTTATATAAAAACAAATTTAATTGATTCTCCTCAATGTCTATGTATTTATTTAATTTACTAGAGCATGATGCACTGCACGGGGCTGAGAGCTCATACTCGCCACAAGTTCTAAATGTGGGTAAAATAATTGCTTATTGTCTTGAAAGTCTAATGTATTGTATCAAAGTAATGTCTTATTTCTTAAAATATTGGATAATTATGGCAAAATAACTACATAACTTTTTCAAAATGAACAATTCCAAGTAAAAATCTTAAAAAAACAAGTCAACCTCTTGAGACACCAGAATGACTTTCATACAGCATCTGAACCGAAACAGGTGGGTATATTGTGCTGCCTTTGTATTAATTAAATAGTGTTCACTTACAAGGAAGTTTTTGGGTGATAAGTCACTAAACTTACCGTGCCCACCAGCTCAAAGTGTAGGTGGACTGTCAGTAATTAGTGCCCTGTTTAGTAAATCTGTCTCACATTCGTAACTTTCCCGGATACAACGCATTGACACATTCTAACTACTGTGTTTATGTTTATTTGTACATTATATAGTGTTTTTACTGGACGAAAACACACTTACTGCCCAGATAAACAGTTTTAAACAGTTTTCTCAGCTGCCTGAGACTTTTGCATGTGTTTTCTTCAGTTTTCAAACTTCAGTTTCCAGGTGTGGAACTCCATGCGCTCCAGCAAGATAATTTTGCCTCTGTACACCACCACAATGGATTTCAACCGAAACTGGCAAGATGTGACTGAAGTGTAGACTCTTAACTTTAATTCAAGGGGTTTAACAAAAACATTGCATTAACTGTTTAGAAATTACAGCCTTTTTTGCAAAGTCCTTCCTTTCTACAGTAAAGGTCACACAGTCCCTTCATTTTCTGACTCAAATTTAATTAGACAGACTAGTAATTATAAGTAAAACATTATTTTTACTACTTGGATGCACATGCTTTGTAATCAATGAAATCTGGAATTCATAGACATCACCAAATACTGAATTTCCTCCCCTGAGATACTTTGTCAGGCCTTTTGTGCAGCTGCTGTCAGCTGTTGCTTGTTTGTGGGTCTTTCTGCTTTCAGTTTTGTCTCCAGTAAGTGAAAAGGACACTCAATTGTGTTGAAGTTAGGTGACTCCATTTAAGAACATTCCTTTTTTTTTGTGTTAAGAAGCTCTTTTGTGGTAGGTTTTGGATCATTATCTATCTCTACTGTGAAGTGCCTTCCATCAGATGGGATAAGATTTTTCACAAATTCGTATTACAGAAGCAAATCTTATCTTAATTTAAGAATCTTATCTTACAGCATCTTTTCTTATCTCAAGTTAGGAAATGTTAACTTACTCTATTGAAGTCAACAATCAACTGTCGTGTCTGTTACCTAGCAACTGACCATACACACACAGCTGAAAGTAAACACATGATCGAGTTAGTTAGTCAGACAGCTAACATTAGCGGCAGTTACTGGTGTAAAGAAAGTCATATAAAACTAAAGTGTGCTAAGCTGTAAGTAGTGAATACTGTGAGAGCGCCCCCTGCTGTTTTTCAGAGCTTCGCTGCTCCCCTGTTTCAGTCTCCATTTCCCAAACGATTCAGCCGAGCTATTCCTCCTACTGTTATTCCTCCTAATAAACAGACACACGTTTAACTCTGTCTCCTTATTATTCACCACCATCACTGTAATATTTTATCATCAACATTAACACACAAAGGTAATAAGAGAGACAGTGGAGATCATGTCTGCCGTGACTGGGGCTTTTAAATGCAGTTAGAAAAAAAATCACAATTCAAAGCACCATTTTCAGTGTAGAAAAATGTAGCATCATTATGCTAGTTATAGTGAACTGTGCTGCCTGTCACTGCATAAAACAATAGAAACAGACAAATAAAACAGAATTTAAGACAGCTCTGGGGTTGTCTTAAAGTTAAGAAAATATTTAGGATATTTTGTTAACTTAGAACGTTTCTGTAATACTGTTGGTCCCACTTTATATTAAGTATCTCTAATACCGGGCGGCACGGTGGCGCAGTGGGTAGCGCTGTTGCCTCACAGCGAGAATGGCCTGGGTTTGATTCCCAGTCGGGTGACCAGGGTCATTTCTGTGTGGAGTTTGCCTGTTCTCCCCGTGTCTGCGTGGGTTTCCTCCGGGTACTCCGGTTTCCTCCCACAGTCCAAAAACATGCAGTCAGGTCAGTGAAAAGGACCTGGTAAATTGCCCCTAGGTGTGAGTGTGTGTGTGAGTGAATGTGTATGTCTGTCTGTCTGCCCTGCGATAGACTGGCGACCTGTCCAGGGTGTATCCTGCCTCCCGCCCAATGACAGCTGGGATAGGCTCCAGCACCCCACCGCGACCCAGAAGGATAAGCGGTTTAGATGATGTATGTATGTATGTATGTATCTCTAATACCTGTGTAGTTACACATGAATAACATATGCAACAACACTAACTACTGATGATTTAGCAAGTGTTACAGATGGATTACAGAAGTACATTAATTACATGTGTATCAACTTCAGTTTTGCCTCATGTTTTGCCTCATGTCATAATTATTAATTAATTAATTAAATTCTTATCTGGAAATAAGATTATAGATTTAAGAACTGTTGTTCTGTAATGGGTTCTGTCCTAACTTCAGTCTTAACTGAAGTTGCCATGACAACAAAGCAAATCTCAGACTTGAGAATTTTCTGTAATGCAGCTCCAGGTTTACAGTCCATACAGTCCATATATGGAAACTAAACTGTCTGTTTTTAATCCTCTGTTTTTGTGATGTCACAATAACCACTGCTTTTATGACCTACTGCAGTTTAACCCAACTCATTCTGGAGTGTTTCAGTCCAGAGTGCTTTTTTTTAATGAGATGTAATACAGGACAACCAATCAGAACAGAGCTCATTTACATATATCAATCTTACAATTGTATGTTTAAGTGTAAGGGATAAAGAGAGGTGGAAAAATGTTCATGCAAATATGAATTATTATAAGGTCAAATGGACCTCAAGAAAAAATGTAGACAAATGTAGAATGTGGGCTCCTGAAATATTCATAATAGAACCACTTTTTGATAAACATTCATCATTTTATTTCCTCACCCACATTCATTTTTGCACTCATATCATGTTTTCTTATTAGTCAGTAGTAAAGTAGTGAAAGATTAATTTCAGCTACAGTGGTTAGTTTTACACAGTTATGGTAAACATATTTAGCATGTAATTCCTGAGGAAAATCTCAGACTCTCAGACTGTCAGACGATGAAGATTAACTCAAAACATTTTGAGTTTTTCATGGAGGTCTTGGTTCACTCCCATCTGTAGAAAAACAATATTTAGTGAAAAACTGCATTATTCATTTTATAACATAATTATACTGCAATATGACTGTAAAACTGAGCTTCCCAAAAACATTACATGTACATTATGTGCATTTTTATAAACACTCCCATGGAACACAATGGGCCAAACCCAAAATGGAAAAACATTAAGCTTTTAATGGCCTTGAAAATAAATCATTAGTCAGTCAATTAGCAAGAGTTAAAAAATAGATAGAAGTCACTGTGGAGAGATTTTTTCCTTTGATTTCTTTAAATGTTGAAGTTTGGTGTGTAAATTTGCAGGTAGCCTTTTACAGAAAGAAGAGTCAGTATTGATCCACTCAGCATTGACGGCTTTAAAGAGCTGAAAAACATTGACCAACTATTCTCCACAGGGTTTAAATCTGGACTATGACCAGCCCAACACTATAAGTACTAATATCTAATATATTGTGATTGATTCTGAAATAGAAAAATAGAAAAAGGAAATATTAATACTTCAGCACTCCACAATATTAATAAACTTTATTAAACACACCTTTAGACCAGTGGATAGCTGGCTGCTGTGGCGATACCACACTGATTATTCTTGTTTCTGGACATCTTGATGTAGCCTTCTTCACCCCACCCAGTGCCCCAGCTGCAAAATCAAATGTTATTCTTTAATTAGTCACTCATGTGGACCACTGATCTGGTTTACATCATATTTTCTCACATTCTGTATCATATCAGTTATAGTCAACAAAGTGCATATTAGCAAAATGTTATCCGAGATTAATAAAGTTACACTTATGCTTGTGTACATTTGTTTATAGTTTGTTACAGTATGGTAAATCATACTATTTGTGGTATTATAAAAAATTGATTTGATTTAAACTAATAAACAAACAAATAATGCATAGTTTAAACTTTAATTTCAAGCTGTTAAATCAAGTTGTTGTTGTATTCACACCTGCTAATGAAATTTAGGTATACCGCATCCCTACAGATCCTGTCTCACCATTCAAGGCAAACAAGAGTCAGGATTCCAACTTTTTTGCTATGTGCTTTTGTCACATGCTTCTACTCCAGTTGCTACTCCAGAAAGCTATTATGACATCAAACATTATGGAATAATGACAATTAACAGCAATGGTAACATGACACTACTGTATTACTGGATATAATCTATTATCTTGCATAATATGTTTATGGCATGGTTATGTCAATGTAGTGTAGAAGTGTAACTTCTCAACTTTTCTTGTAATCTGAAACTTTAAATGCATTATCAGTTTTGATTGCCTACTGGTTGGTTTGTTTACCTGTTCTTGACCAGCCAGTAGTCCTGTCCACTCTCAGTACCGTATCCAACAACCAGGACGGCATGATCCACATTACTGCTGCTGCAGGAAGGCTCATCATACACACCTACAATCAATCAATCAATAAGACATCAGTTTATCAACTAGAAACATGAACTTCCTGAAGAAAATGCAGAGTGATTGTGCGGCTCAGGTGGTGCCAAAACATATTATAGGTGGTTGCTGTGATGTTCCAGGTGGTATCCAGGGTCCTGTTAAGTGGTTTATATGGTAACCATGGTGGTTGGCAGGGTGTTTCTAGGTGGTTGCTACAGTATCCCAGGTGGTTTCTAGGGTTTTTCTAGGTTGTCTGATATGGTATCCTAAGTGGTTGCTAGGGTATTGTAATGCACAATTACTAATAACTAACAAAATACAACAAAATATACAAACACTAAGTTCATTAATGAGTAAATCAAGGGAACAAAGGACATGTCAAATGAAAGTAGATCATGCATCAAGACAAATTTAAATAGGGAATTTATTTCCATAGCAATTTGAAGTAACAAGGTGTGAGTATAAGTGTATGTTCTACAATCCTTTTGGAAAAGCATCATGAAACTGCCTGTGAAAATGTCTAGAATGTGTAAATGTGGTCCTAAGGAGAAGCTAATGCACATTTTGATTTGTGTCAGCACTTTTTGGTCAGTGTGTAGCGGAGATATGAGGTTTTCTTCTGACAGCAGCGAGATATATATATCCACTATATATACATTTAGTGAGACATGAGGATCACCTGATTGATAGTACTTGAAGGAGGGCTGTTTGGTATCTATGGCCACAGAAATAGGACCAATGGTGGCCACAGCTTCCTGCAGGGCTTCCTCATCTCCTTTGTGGATGTCCACATGGCCAGTGCAGGTAGCTTCCACAGTGGCTGGATTAAACCTGCACACATCATCCTGCAGAGAGGGGGGCATATCTTGGCCTAGAAGGACCTGTTGCCTTGTTTTTTTTTATTTTTTTATCTAATAGATAATAGCTACAGATCACAGTTATTATGCATCTTCGCTCCCTACTTAACTCCTTTCTGCTCTATTTTCTGAATTACTTCTGTCTCATTGAAAGTGGAAAATGCAGATGATATATTTACTTAACTTTCGAAGTGCAGAACGTTTAGGTGACACTAGGTTGCTGCGCAAAATATCTGCATTTTAGTAACTTTATTTCTTTTGTAACCCTACAGAAATGTGTTCTCATTAATGTTAATCCAGGTAGATGTAGCCCCAATGTCTACATTTCCAAATGTTTATACACCAGTGTCAGCATTGGCATTGATAGACAAATATTAAAGTTGAATATTGGCATCACCCCAGAACTAACATATAAGTGCTGGCTTAATAGAATGTATCACAAAACAGCAGTAATGATCTCTAAGATGATCCTCTGCTGTATTCTAGCTGGCTAACTACCAAGCTAAACAAGCAAACAGCTCACGAGCGACATTATACTTTTCTCAGGTGTTTAAAGATTCAAATAAATGTGACTATCTTACTGATTAGCTTACTATGTTTGTCAAGTGACAGTTAGCTTCTAGCTCCAGAGTTAGCATCTAGCTATTCCCTGAGTATTGTCCACTCACTCTGTTCTCGTAGGGGTATGACTCCTCCGTGTCCAGTCCTCCATTCTCCTCCACGTATGCAAAAGCCTGGTCCATCCAGCCACCATGGCAGCCCTTGTTTCCAAAAGCCCTGGAGCAGTCCACCAGCTGCTGCTCGCTGAGGGAGACCAGATAACCTGTCTTCCTGAACATCTGTCCTTCTAGCGCCCCTGTCTGAGAGATGGAGAAAGCAAGAGATTAGTTTTGACAGTTTAATGAACTTTGTTTTAGCATCATTCACAATCAGCTAGCTACAATGCTAAGGCTCCCAGTAGCATAATCTTCAAATTTGGGCACATACTGGCTTCCTTCATTGCTACCTTTCAATGAAGTATGACAAGATCATTGATTCTCTTAGCATAACGCAGCTCTGTTCAAAAGCTGTGTGTATATTTATCTTAATGTTCATCAAAGTGTCTTGCTTACTATTCATCTTTTCTGAGCCGCTGTAAAAAACACTCAAATTTCACAGGCTGATAAAATATTTTAGGTTGACATACAGCTTTTGGGGATTCTGTTGCTTTTCTTTTAAAACTAGTGATGGTTTTCCATAGTAGACACTGGTGCCACTAGGAGGCCAAAGATTGAAGCCAGTTCTCCCTTACTGTACTGAAGGCCCAGCAGGATCCACAGTCCAGCTGGTTCTTTACGCCGGTAACATAGCCCTTTTTTCTCCAGTCCACAGTATTGGGTAGAGCAGCGCCTCCTGCCTGTCGGAGGAATGTAGTTGCACTGCTGGTCTTTGTTCTGTTGAAGGATCCCAGGTAGCCCTTAAGCATCTGTCTGTACTCTTCGTCATCCTGTTGGCCAGATGGCGTGAGGCTTAAACAATGTTTTTTTTCTTCAACAATAAAGGTGAACAATAGAGTGGAAAAAAAACTAATTTGAATCAGAGTATTTTGTCTGGGCCAGCTGTGTTTAAAAAAAGAGTTTTAAAAAAAAAGTCAACCTTTGAGGTTTTTATATACTTTTTAATGGAAAATTTCAATCATTGTTGTTTTTGCACTAATTTGTCATAGAGATGATATGCCAAAAATATAATATTGTGATACTTTGAGAAATTTTCACGATACATAGTATCTCACAATATCGACTTAAAAACTAGTAGTGCTGCTTTAAAAAAATAATATAAACACTTTGAACACAATGATTTTTTATTCAATATTCAGCACTAAATCCAGTGAATAAACTATACTAAGTTTGCCCTTTTTATAATGAAGCATGCAGCTGGTCAGTTGTACTGATGATATCCACAATATGTTTACAAAAGCATATTGTATTAACATGTGACATAAATAACGATGCAATAACAATTTATGTTGTCATATTGCTCAGCCCTAATTTGTGCTGATTTGCAGCTAAAAACTTAATTAAAAACATAATTTTCAAGAATTTTTACTCTTTCCATCGCTCTATAGCCCCCTCCATTTCCTGAGTTCAAACAGACTACGTGTGGCTATTGCCAGCACCATAAAGGCGGAGATCAGCAGGCTTGGTTAATACTCATGCATCTTTTCTCCTGGAGCCCCTTCACCATGACTGTGCTTGTTTGGTTGCTCACCCCTCACTCCCAGCTTTGATGTTAGTCACCAAAACAAACCTTCTCAAGTGATTTATTGCTTTTATGCAACAATTCAAATGTGTATCAAATGTACTTTTATATTAGCAATTCTTTTCCGCCACAAAAAGTAGTGCCCTTTTGCATTACAGTTAGAGAAATGTAGAGCTATAAAACTATCAGGTTGAGCTCAACTTTTTCAGTATTTTCCAGATGGAGCTGAATGTGGTCTTGTTGCAGTCAGTCTGTTGAGCATTTTATTAAAGTGCATCGACAGGTTTGGAATTTAATGTAGAATCTATAGCTGAAGGTCAAATATTATCTTTTTTCTGCCTTTGTTTCGTTTTTTTGTTTTTGTAAGTCATCTGAGCTAATGCTCAGTGGAATGATGCCAATATTGTGGGAAAAAAACACCAAAAAGAAAAAAGAAATCACAAATAAGGCTTCTCAACCAATCAGACTGTGTCATCGGAATGAAATAATGTCTAAATTGTCACTGTAACAAAACCATGCATCTCCAAATCAAATTGGTAACTTTTTAGGAAATAGCAAAATGTTTTTAAAGTTTAATGCACTTTAATGTAACAAGTATTTTTGGACTGCTTAGATTGGTCTGTTCATCATGAAACATCCTGCCGCTGTGCTCAAATAATGTAGAAAAAAAGTGAGATATAAGATTTTGACATGACATGACAAAGGCCCAATCCCATTTCTTCTTTTTACCCCTACCCTTTGTTTTCGAGTGTCACCCTAACCCCTTGGAACTGAGTTACAAGGGGTAGTGGTTAAAAACTCCCAAACGAAATGGGACAACCCTCAAATTAAAAAAAAAACAAAAAAAACATTGCTTCATTAACAACCTACTGGCGCTGCTCTGCAGGCGACCCAGCGCATCTTCAGTGATAGCAGAGACGGGAAAGTTCAGCAACCTCGCTGCTGGGCTTTAGTTACATTTAGGGCATCAAATGCTTTCAAACAGGGGGTTTAAGGCAATTATTTATTATCACCCACTCCAATTATTTGGTGATACGAAGCTGAAGTCTTCTATTTGCTAGCTTCTTGTTCGAATTTTCACGTTCCACCTTAAATGGTGCAGCAGTTACATTCTGACGCTTCTGGCGTCAATACTGCCAGACTATTTAAGGTGGAACAGGAAAGTTAGCTAGCTACTGAGAAATTAGCATGCTATTAGCAATTTTTGTGTGCTTGTTATGAAGATAACGATAATAATACATTGAAACGACATTAAACTAAAATAATGCGATAGTTATCGTAATTTTTTAACAGAGAAAATTCTCACATTTGTGGGTTTCTTTGCTCGCGCAGCCATCTTCCGTAACACTTCTTTTGGAGTGTGCCCCTGAAAAACCTCCATTTGGAGGGCCATGTAGCCCTAATACTTCACGCTACCCCTCTATCTCAACTGAAATTGGGACACCCTTACCCTAGATGTGCGCAAAACAGAGGGCTAAGGGCTAAGTGGTAGGGGCAAGAGGTGAAATGGGATTGGGCCAAAATACATACATTTTCACATAAAGACTTGATCATAAATAAAATGCACAGTGTATGATCCTACCATATCTGCAAAGCGGTTCATGCCAAGTCTGTAGCTTTTGATGCCCTGGTCAGCCAGCATGTTGTGCACCAGGACCTTCTTACGACTGTCCAGCCAGATCATCTTACGCTGAGACTCTTCTTCTATAGAGTGGTAGATCTTACCTAATACAGAAACACACGTGAGAATTAGACAGACGGAGGATGCATGTGGTTGATTGAAAATACTAAAATTGCAAAGTAACAATACAAGTTTTCATTTTTTACAGAATAGTGATTTGGGTAAAAATATTTTACGCTATAATCTGCATCACCTATAGAACATAGAAGAACCACACAATAAAGAACCAGACAATAAACAACCAGACAATAAACAACCAGGCCATTTAAAAGCTCAAAATAACTTCTGACTGAAAATGAAACTGCAAATGAAGAACCTTTTGTGCTGCCTACATCTACTGTCTCATTTACTGAAAGAACTGGCACTGGAAAAAGGCAGCGGCTGAATTTGGACTGTGGGTGTGATTTGAGTGGAATATCACTGTTTCAGTTCATCAGTCTGTTATTTTGTTTAATTTTAACCAAATTATTTATTCATAGCAAAATAAGGATCCTCACCGAACTTCAGTTTCCAGGCGTGGAACTCCAGATCCTCCAGAGAGACGCTGGCTGCTCCGGCCACGACCACCAGAGCAGCGATAGTGAGTAAAACCCTCATTCTGAAGAGTGAGGTCAATGAGTTATTGGTATTTTTTACTTTCATTAAAAGTTAAAAATGTTTTCGACTGCAGAGTCACCATTTTTAAAATACAACATTTGGTTCCAACAGTGACAAAGTATATAAGACATAATGTGAATATAAGTTAAACAAACCTCTGTGTGCTACATACCTGCAGTGCTCCATAAGTCTTGCAGCCACCTGTATCAGTCTATGTTTAGATGGATGGCAGTGCCAGTTTGCTGATTTATATACTGTGTTACGTGTGGAATCAGGTGCCTGTCACATGCACAGCCACAAAACACCACAGTCACACACTTTGTCCAACCAATGCATATTTGTGTGGGAAACTTGTGAGGAGAACACAGTGAGGAGGAAGTAAAGGGTCTACTGTATTTTATGCTTTTTGTGTAATACTGTGTTGAGTATCGTGTTATATGTATGTTATCTGTGTATGATTTCTGTAAGCTGTACGTGGAAGGTCAATAAGATGTGTTATTCCTGGCTGTGTATGTATAGGTTAAGAACAGCTGTTGCTTCTGTACCTAGTTTTGCGATTGTCCAGCAGCACCTATGTGCCTGGCCTATATACAGAAGTTACAACTTGTCTACTGATGACCAACACAGTGGAAGCTTCTGGTAAACAAGGAACTTCTGAAACCACAAGAGTTTGTTTTTATCCTTCTCAGCATACAGTGAATGGAAACAAGCATTCACTTTCATTTATGTTGTTTAATAAACTTCCAGTGCATATATTCACTTTAGATTGATGTTAAACAATGTCTTTTGACTCTGTTTTTATCAGTTTGAACAAAAATTAATTGGGGAAAAAGTATTATGACACCACGTCATCAACAGTAGTAATCTGTAGCAAAGCTGCTGTTGGCAATTACGGCTTTAAGACATCTGTGGGAATTTTCTGTCCATTCATCCAGAAGAGCATTTGTGAGGTCAGACACTGATTCTGGATGAGAGTGCCTGGCTCACAATCTCCGCTCTAGTTCATCCCAAAGGTATTCGATGGGGTTGAGGTCAGGGCTCTGTGAGGGCCAGTCAAGTTCTTCCACACCATACTAACACAGCCATGCCTTTATGGGGTGGATGAGTTTGGTGATTTTGGGGGCATTCATGGGCTGGTGTTTAGGAAACCAGCCTTGTGAATGGAAGGTCGTCAGTTTGATTCCCTGAGCTGACTGTATGTGACTGAAATGCCCTTGAGCAAGGCACCTAACCCTCAACTGCTCCCCGAGCGCCATGGATAGGGCTGCCCACCGCTCTGGGCATGTGTGCTCACTGCCCCTAGTGTGTGTGCACGCTCTAGTGTGTATGTGGTGTTTCATTGCATGGATGGGTTAAAATGCAGAGGTGAAATTTCCCTGTTGTGGCACTAATAAGGGTCTTTTAATCTTATGGATCTTGCTTTGTGCACTGGGGTTCAGTTATGCTGGAACAGAAAAGGTTCTTCCCCAAACTGTTCACACAAAGTTGGAAGCATAGAATTGTCCAAAATATCTTGGTCTGCTGAAGCATTAAGATTTTCCTTCACTGGAACTAAGGGTTCTAGGCCAACCTCTGAAAAACAATCCCATAGCATTATCCCTCCTCCACCAAACTTTACAGTTGGCACAGTGCAGTCAGGCAGGTAATGTTCTCCTGGTATTCCCCAAACCCAGATTTGTCCATCAGACTGCCAGATAGAGAAGCATGATTCATCACTCCACAGAATACGTTTTCACTGCTCCAGAGTCCAGTGGCGACATGCTTTACACCACTCCATCTGATGCTTGGCATTGTGCCCTCTAGCCTTCTTTACATTGCCAGACAGGTTCTATTTAAGGGATGTTTAGATTCAACAGGTCCGGCAATAGTCCTGTTTGGGTGTGGCTAGTGAAATTGAAATTAATTTGGGTTTACTAGTTAAATAGTTAATTTAGTAGCTGAGGGTGGTGAAAACATAGACATGGGTGTAGGGTACCCATAGACATGAGTGTAGTAGCGCAGAGGTTTGTGTGCTAAGCAAAGGCTAAACCCCAACCGGCCAACGCTACCTAGCATTTTCCTCACCAATGTTTGGTCTCACTCAATGTTTGTTACAGAAGCCCACCCCTAACTCGCAGCTCCCAAGGCATGAATTGGAACACACCAAGGCAGCTGGCTCAGAGGAGAGGTTGGAAACAAGGGCTGGACAGGGGTCTGAACATTGGGCTAGACAGGGGAACACACAGGGGACTGGACATAAGACTGAACATGGCACTGGACAAGACACTGGACAGAACATTGGACAGAGGACCATACAGTGTGAACAGGTGAGTAGACAGGAGACATGAGAGGACTCAACACAGAAGACAGGACAGGAGTCAGGACGAAGGGCTGAGCAAGTGACTGGACATGAGACCAAACGAGGAGACTGGACAAAGGATAGAACTGGGTATGGGACAGGGACAGACACAATTACTGAAAAAAGGGACAGAGACATTCACAGGAACAGGTATAGAAAGACTAAAAGAGACAGATACAGGAACTGAAACAAACTATGGACTGGATACTGGACAGACATGGGGGGGAACACAGAATTAAGAATGTCATGCTGAGCAGGGAACTGACAGTGTAAATGGGCAGGGAACTAAAAGTGCCGAGTGGCTGGCTGAGGAGGGGACTGGAAAGACAGCTGAGCAAGGAACTGGACAGTCTGGATGAATGATACTGGAACAAAGTGTGGAGTAGACAGTGGAATGTGATGTGGAAAGAAATCTGCAGGCACACCTCCAAAGTTCAGTTATAGAAGTTGGTTGATCATTTTCTGAAGTAATCCAAACACATTCAGTGATGTTGAGATCTGGACTCTGGGGTGGCTTCTTTGTTTGATGTATCTGTCTCCTTTTCTCAGTGAGGTTCTTCTTGACAGCTACACATCCTTTCAGACTCATAGTGCTGAGTCGCCTTCTCACAGTGGAAGGATGGACAGAAACACCTGTGGATGTTTTCAGATCTGAAACAGCTTGATTTTCTCCTCTCTCTCGAAGATGAAAGCTCAATGTCCTGTTTGTCTGATGGGGATTGGTGGTCTACCAGGTCTTCCAGGTGAATGCTGAATGTGTTCAGAAAATGATTAATCAACTTCTAAGACTGAACTTTGTGTGTGTGAGGTGTGTCTGCCGATTTCTTAATTTCATAATAAAGGGAAAGCGTGACACGAAATATTGAAATATCTGACATTAGATTTAGTATTGAAGGTTATGTGTAATTTCCTGTTATATATATGCTTTCTACTTTTTTCATAGCACTGAGAAGGGAATAACTTGAACAGTCATGGCCATAAATATTTGGACATTGACAAAGTTATAAATTATTGTTATTTAGCTGTCTACCACATCCTATTGAAGTAAAATTTTAATAATGGGCACCAGTCAAAGTGCAGCCTTTTAGCTTTAATTTGAGAGTATTAACATCTAAATTGGGTGAATAGTGTAGGAATTATAACAATTTTCATACAGACCAAGGCTAAAAAATAATTGGACAAATTAACGAAATCACAAACTGACATTTTTAATACTTGTCAGTTACTGTCTGAAGTGTGGACCCTATTAACATCACCAAACACTGGGTTTCTTTTCTGGTGATGCTCTGACAGGCCTTTACTACAGTTGTCTTCAGTTACTGCTTGTGTTTGGGCCACTTTACCTTCACTTGTGCATTCAGTAAGTGAGAGGCATTTTCGATTGAGCTCAGGTCAGGTGATTGACTTGACTTGTAGAACATTCCACCTCTTTGCCATAAAAAAGTCTCGGGTTGCTTTCACAGTCATAAATTATCTATACTATTAAGCTCTGTCCAATGGTTTTGGAGCATTTGACGGAATCTGAGCAAATAATAAATCTGCTCAGGTTTATACACTACACAATTCATTCTGCTGCTTCTATCAGATACATGTAACATCATCAATAAATACAAGGGATCCAGTTCCATTGGTAGCCATACATGCCCATGCCATAACACTACCTCCACCATGCTGACGGATGAGATGGTATGCTTTGGACCACCATCTATTCTCTTCTCATTATTCTAGTTCCATTTGATCTTTGTCTTATCTGTCCAGTCTGTACATCCAGAACTGTTCAGACTACAGATGTTTTTTTTTTTTTTGCAAACTTCAATCTGTTTTAAAGTTTACCAGTGGTTTACATATTGTGATAAACCGTTTTTAGAGTCTGTTTTTTAGATTGTTGGCTTTGAAGGAATGTGCCAAACTCCTAGAGGGAGTTTTTGATCTGGACAACTGTTGTTGGCTCTTCTCTGTCGGCCCGCCTGTCATTTTTTTTCAGCAGATAAAGAATTCTTCATCATCCACCACAGTTGTTTTCCATGGTCTAAGACAGCCATCAGAGTCACATATAACATCTCATAAAACATATGAGTGTTAGGATTAGGTTTTGGGCTGAGGTTAAAGTTAGGGTTAGGATTAGAGCCAGGGTTAGGGTTAGGTTTTGGATAAGGTTAGGTAAGTTTAGGTTTTATGTAATGGAAGTAACATATTAACAAAACATCTACTTAATGTAAGTAAGGTATCAACAGAACATCTACAAGATATTTACTTCAATGTATTCAGACGCTTCACTACTGCTACTTCACTGATATGTTGTTTATGTGTTACTGATATGCTGTAGAAGAGTTTATTAATCAGTTACAAAGGACCACTCAAAAAAAGTCTAACCCAGTTTCTTTATGTCACTTGCAAAATCTTTATTCTCCCCAAACTAGTTGTTAGTTAAAATCAATCATGGATGGAAAAAGTCATTAGCCTCATAAAAAACAAAAATAAATGCATAACTACATTGAACACATTTTCTAGCACAAGATTACAACAGGAAGTCTCAGAAGAGAATTCTTTAGCTTTGCAAATCACACAAGAAAAGTAGTAAGCATAATGTGGATAAATGTTTTCTATACATCATTCAGAAATGAGATACGTAAATAAGAAAGAGCTCTTCATTGTCACTGTAGGTAGTACTAGCATTCATAGGAATCATTCCATCCTGGAGAAGAGACTGGAACAATCAGAATAGGCTGGTTCTGGTTCAAAGTTTAAGGAATAAACCCAGGGCTTTCTGATCCCAAGCTGGGCAACTTTATTCCTATTTTACTCAACCCCTTAAAATCTCAGGCTTATTAACTACTATTGCTTACTATTCAGTAACTACAGGGATGCAAATTGGCTGAGATATTCTTAGGTTAT